TTGGAAATTTGAAATACTGACAACTTGAGCATTAAATCCCCTCAATCCGCACAGACCAAACCCACATGCCACTAGTTCAAAATCCAACACTAAAACAAATGATAATATTACAATAATATATAATTCATGTATTGCAGAATAGAAGGAACTTAGAAATGGTAGAGAGTGGAAATAGAGGAAAGTGGAATATTTGTGCTTATGAGGAATAACATGCTGGCAGCAGTAAAAATGAATTGACCTGGAGAGAGATAATAAAGGATTAATCACACTGATAGGCGAAGTCTACAGATGAGATAATGGTGGAAGGGAATGGCAGGAAGAAATATGTGAGTAAGTTAGAGAATGAGTAAAAAAGAAGTACAATAATCATTGGGGCAATTATCAACTACATGATGTTAATGAGACTGAAGGGGTAGGTAAATGGGATAAGTGAATGGAGTTCCCACAAGATGCACAGAACTCTTTTTCAACCTAGTATGTAAAAAAGCCCAAAAGGGGAAGGTTCAACATTCAGTCACATAATGGGGAATGGACCAGACCAGATAAAAGAAGCAAAAGTGGGGGGAACATGTAGGTAATAGTGACCATAACATAATGATGGTTGAGAACGACAGAAGTGTAATGAAAGTCGAGTTAGTAGATTGAACAAAAGTTGAATTTCTGGGGCTGAGGATAGAACTTTGGATGGTAAAATGGATACCACTATCAGGAAACGACAATAGAAGACAACTGGAAACATTGAAAATGATGTTTAACAGAGTGCAGGAAAATAGATTTGATGCTAAAAGGTAACAAATGAAACACTTGAGATTTCATGGATGAATAGAGATGTAAATGACCCAAGGGTTAAGAGAGGGGCAAACATTGAGTATATAATAAAGAGAGGAGTGTAAGAACAAAGACAAGACTCGAGATTCTGCTAGATGGCAAACATTCAGAAAACCAAGGGAAGCTATGGGATTAAATTATTCAGAAATATAAAACAAGATATGAAAACACTTTAGAGGCAGATCAATAAATGAAGGAAGGCACTGATGCGAAGAGGGTTATTAAGGGATACTCTGTATATACCAACATGATGTTAATAACTGGCCTTCGGAATGGAAAGCACAGTTTCTAAATTTGCAGATGATACCAAATTGTAGGTGATAGCCAATGCTGAGGAGAACTGCACAGGAAGACATTAATCAGTTTACAGAAAGGGTTCGGAAAAGATTTACAAGGATGTTGGAGGGTTTGAGCTACAAGGAGATGCTGAATAATCTGGGGCTGTTTTCCCTGGAGTGCTGGAGGCTGAGGGGTGACCTTACAGAGGTTTATAAAATTATGAAAGGCATGGATAGGGTGAATAGCCAAGGTCTCTTCCCCAGGGTAGGGGAGTCCAAAACTAGAGGGGTGTAAGTTTAAGGTGAGAGGAGAAAGATATAAAAGGCACCTAAGGGGCAACTTTTTCACACAGACGGTGGTCTGTGTATGGAATGAGCTGCCAGAGGAAGTAGTGGAGCCTGGTACAAATACAACATTTAAAAGGCATCTGGATGGGTACACGAATAGAAAGGGTTTAGAGGGATATGGGCCAAATGCTGGCAAATGGGACTAGATTAATTTAGGATATCTGGTCAGCATGGACAAGTTGGGCCGAGGGGTCCATTTCCATGCTGTACAGCTCTTTGATTCTATGACCAATAGGCAAGAGATTGGCAAATGAAGTGGATTTTGATTGGAAGAACAAGGAAGCCAGACATTACTTGCAAGCGCTAAGTCTTAGAGGGGCTCTGAGTAACAAATCTGCCAATCTCTCAAAGCTTTGCCATGAGTTAGCAAAACTGTGAAGAGACAAGCAAACCAAACACTAGGTAATACTTCTGGAAGGACAGAAATGAAAAGTCAAGAAGCTATTCTTAACATGTATCAGCCCTCCGTGAGATCACACTTTGTGGCATTGAGAGTGGTTTTGGTCTCCACATGAAAAAACTGATATGGGAGACATTGGCAAGGGTGGAGGCAAGGTTTCCAAGGATGAGACCAGAAAGGTGTGGTTTTTCCCATCAGGAAAGGATTGAACAAGGGTTGAGCAGCTGGTGGCCCTGGAGCGGGTTCAGAGGAGGTTCACGAGAATGGTCCCAGGAATGGAAAGCTTAACATACGAGGAACGTTTGAGGACTCTGGGACTATACTCATTGGA